GATGGTATTCAAAAAGTTTCTCCTCTTAAGCAAAAATTAGGTTAAGAAATCAGTGAAGCAGCTGTAGTGGAATGTCGTGAAAGATGCGCTTAAATGAAGGTTTCTCAGAATGAAAAACAAAATAATTCATTTTAGCTGGTGACAATTTGTCTGAAGCATTATTAGAAGAAGAGCCAATTTTCATTTTTCATCGGATGATTCAGCTGCCATTGTGTTTTTAAAATTTTCTTGTTAAGATAAGACTTCATTGCTACTTTTGATAAATTTATTATGATGAAGAAAATTTCCCACATACTGGCGAGAAATGTCTTTAGACTGGTGCTGGTCCTTGGACCATCGGTTGGGGAACACCGCTTTAAACGAATGTATTGGGAGCTAAGGAAGGATGCATTTCTGTCTCATTTTCCAAGAAGAACTTAGAAATTGAAGGGGTTTTCAGAAATATTGCGAGAAAAATCTAATAATTTGGAAATAAGGGCGTTTATTAGAGAGTATGTGGTATCAATGATTTTTGTTTCACCTAGGGGTTTTGTTGGTTGGACCTCCTGGAACCGGTAAAACTTTGTTGGCAAGAGCTGTTGCCGGTGAAGCTGGAGTGCCGTTCTTCCACGCTGCTGGACCAGAGTTTGATGAAGTTCTTGTTGGCCAAGGTGCTCGTCGCGTTCGCGATCTTTTCCGAGCTGCCAAAGCTCGGGCCCCGTGTGTAGTATTCATCGATGAAATCGACTCTGTTGGAGCGAAGAGGACGAATTCGATCCTGCATCCTTACGCCAACCAGACGATCAATCAACTGCTCGCAGAAATGGATGGGTGAGCAACTGAGGGATTTCAATGATGTAATACTGCAATATCAGGTTGTCCTAAAATTAAGTTAATTTACTGTTCTGTAGATGAAGTTTCTGTTTTGTGGATGGTGTTGGACGGTAGCTCTTGCACATTTTTCTGTTGATCGTAATTAAATGTACTGGATATATTCAAATGTTTATTACCGTACCCACTATAGTACCACGCGCACCTCCTTTTCGAAACGAAAAAGAAAAAATAAGGTACGCGTCAGAGCTGGGTATAACATTTTTCAAAATTGGAAAGTTTTCCAAGAACCATATTGGGCTAAAAGTAATTTCTAAGTACAGAGAAAATCATTGTAGGCAAGATCTTTGTGGAGAGAGTCCACTGTATTTCAATTTTAAGTCTCTAAAAATGAGGATCACGTCATACTATGGAAATTTTCAGGTACGAAATTTGGATGTCTTGTTCTTTAAATATAATAGTTGATTTGAAAAGTGTAGGAAAAGTTTTGGACAGATTGAATGTCGTGTCATGTCGCGGAATAATAATGCAATATTTCGCAAAGCTGCACGAAGAGCTGAGCTTTTCACCTGCTTCTTGAAGATCAAAATCATCGAACTGCAATTTTTCTCGTATACCTTGAAAACCTTTTTGCTTAGTGAATAGAAACCATACATTGAGCTGATAGTGGTTTTATTTCAATGCTAAGCCGTAATATTTTGTGTGTATAGGTTTGTGCAAAACGAGGGTGTGATTGTCCTGGGAGCCACAAACCGAAGAGAAGACTTGGACAAAGCCCTTTTGCGTCCGGGTCGTTTTGACGTAGAAGTCCAGGTTGGTGATATTTTGAAGCGACGACGATGAAATTCTGTTTGATCTAAAATAAGTCCCTTTGTTTTCGCAGGTACCTGTTCCTGATTACGAAGGACGCGTTGACATAATCAAGTTGTACCTTGGGAAAGTTAAGTTTGGTCCTGACGTTAACGAGGAGAAACTCAGTCGAGGCACAACTGGCTTCACTGGAGCGGACATTGAAAATCTCGTCAACCAAGCTGCTCTCAAAGCAGCCATGGACGGCTCAGATTATGTTTTAATGAAACATCTTGAGTTTGCGAGAGACAAAATTCTCATGGGTGAGTCTCGTACTGTATTGTTTTTTTTTGTCCTTCTTGACTCAATCATAGACAGCTTTGAGTGCTGTAAAAATGAATTTCTGCTTAAATCGTAAGTTGATTCGAATAATTTTGAGCTATGCTTCTTTCGTGTCCGAGCTGCTGTTTCGTGGCTGCACTGAAAAATAATTCTCCCGTAAAAGCTGACGAAAATTGAATGTCCTCAGAACTGTGATACTGAGGGCTGATTTTTCTCTCTAAAATTTACATTTGATTCACCCAATATTGAAATTACCGTATTTATTTGAGTTGGACGCGCAGCAGAGTTTTCAGTTCGAGATTTTTATAAAATTGTATCCCCGAGTAAGACGTGCGCCCCATTCTTAGTGACTCTAAAACTGCAATATTTCGAAAATAAGAATAACCAAATTTTGAATTTCTATAATTGTTCCTGAATTCAAGTAATTTTCGATTATTTCCATTAAAATACTGTACGCTTTTCTGTTGAAATTGGTTCACAATTTCCCGTGAGAATCAAGTATATTGCTCACATAAATTTCTATAACTTAAAGAAATTATACCTGCCTATGATTCGAACCCCTTTTTTTCCGCTGAATCTTGAGAATAAATGTGCGCGTGGTACTCGAGTAAATACGGTATTTCAAATTCCGAAAATTATTTCCGAATTGAAGCCTCGAAGAAAGGTTGAAGTGGTGTATACTAATTATTACTACAGGTGGACTCTCTTTCATTCTTGTTTTCAAGGATTTATTTGTGTCATAGCCCATAGGGTTCTCACCATTTTTTAGCGGTTCTATTCAATAAAAGTCTCTCTACAATGAATTTATTTGATCCCCTAAATGTTGAGTGAGTCCACTTTTATTTTGTATTCAAACTGCGCTTTTAAGCTACTTTTGCAGAATACTCCTTCTTTCACAACAGTTCTGCACGCTCATTTTTTGCAGCGTGTTCTTTTGCTATTGGAAGTCAAGTACTGTACCTCACCTTTTGTTATCCATCCAATTTCTTTACAGGCCCGGAGAGAAAAAGTAGAATCCCCGACGAAGAAACGAACAAGTTGACTGCTTTCCACGAAGGTGGACATGCTTTGGTAGCGTATTACACGAAAGAAGCTCAGACGCTTCACAAGGTTACAATTATCCCTCGTGGTCCTTCACTTGGACACGTGAGTCTCGATACCTGGAAATATTACGTTTGGGTTTTTTTTTTCTTCTCTGAAGTGAAATGTTTTCTTTCCAGACATCGTATATCCCTGATAAGGAGCGGTATCACGTTACGAAGGCGCAAATGCTCGCGATGTTGGATACTTATATGGGAGGTCGGGCTGCTGAAGAGCTCATTTTTGGCTCTGACCAAGTTACTTCCGGAGCGTCGTCAGATTTGAAGGTACAGTATTGATGTATTCCTCCTCATCTAATAGCGTGTGCAGTGGGACCCCAAGATGCGAACGTAATTGGCGCTTGGACCCTTATCCCAATGTTGGAACGTCCACATGTCGGATTTCGTTTTCCCGTCGACTTCAATGGGAACTTTCTCCAATTCATGAAAATTAGGAATGAATACTTTCTAAAAATCAAATAAAATTTGTTTCTTAAGTTGAAGATGCGGAATGTAGCTGTGAGGAAGAAAACCACACGGACTCTGATCTTCTGGCATCAAGAGTTCCCCGAACAGCCAAAAAAGTACAAATCTTGCTATATTGTGCACAGATTGTGGAGAAATCTTCAGAACAATCATATATTATGTGCTTGAGTAAATATGTGATGAAATTTATTTTTNTTTTTTTTTTCATTTAGCAAGCGACGTCGTTGGCTGCACACATGGTGAAAGAATTCGGGATGAGTGAGCGAGTTGGTCTTCGGTTTCATGACAGGCAAGATGGGAGCCTCGTTGTCGTGAATGAAAACAGTCCTTCCACCAGTGAAGCCATCGATTCCGAAATCAATCGCTTGCTGAAGGTGAGGATTGAGAACTTACTCGTATTAAAACGGAGAATTAACAGAGAAAAGTGCTGTATACACAGTTGGATTTCTCGAGTAAAACTCCATTCTACCTGCGAACAAATTTGGCTTGGGGAGTTTCTGAGTTGGGGGAAAACGAATTTTTGCTGGAGAGAAATTAAGAACTACAGGAAGTTGAGATTATAATCTTCTGGGCCACTTATTTGACAGAATGTTTAACGTTGAGGCAAGGGTTCATTTGCCCAATTACTCACTTCCTTTTGAAAAGAATCAATTTATATTTTTATTGGCTTCCTCTTTCCTGGGTCTCCAGAATAATGGCCCAATAAATTTGAGTAATGTACGTTTGAGGAGGATCGTCTTCAAGTTGAAAGGCTCTATTGTTCTTGAAGGAATCAGACGGGTTCTGAGCAAAACTTTGCGATAGGTACGTTTTTTGATCTTGGAAGGTTCAAATTACTGAAGTCCAACTCAAATATAGTATAAGGAGCAGTTAAATTTATCTTTCGAATGAAGTCCAATGTCAAAATACTGCAACTAGAATGTGTCGAAATGTAGCAACTACTGTACAATATGTCAAAATACAGCGATTACAATATTATTCCTACCTTGGCAATTTATGAATATGAAAAAATTGCTAGGGTCTTTTTTTAAATGAATTTTTATTATCCAAATCTTCTGAATTTGCTATGTTTAAATCCAGGTTTAGACTTGATTTGAAGGGCGGAGAAGGTATTTTTTGTAGTTCATTACTAGCGATTTTTTTACGAAGAAAACTTGACATATTTGCCTTGATTTTTTACAAAACTAAGCTCCATGGATCTAGATAAATTCATTCACACGAGTCTCTTGAGTTTGAGAAGTTCAGGTCCAGCTTTTAACTAACCTTCAAGCGTGGAGAAAATGCATTCACGATCTTCAAAAACCGCTTGCTCATGGTCACTCTAGGAAACGGTTCAAGATGACTTGTCACAACTTCTTCTTTTCCTTATGCATTTGACAACGAGTTATGTCCTTCGTAGAAATATTTTTTCAAACAAATTTTTACGCTTTTCAACGCAGGAATCACATGGCCGTGCCACTAATATTCTCAAGGAGCACAGAAATGAGCTGAACCTTCTCGCAGACGCTTTATTGAAGTACGAAACGTTGGACGTTGAAGATATCAAGGCGATTGTGGAAGGAAAGGACATAGTGGCCATCAGTGGCCGCCACGTGTAATGAAAGTCCAACGCTATTTTTGAACCTTTCGTAATTCGAGTGATGCGGTCTTGAAACATAACCTATCTGGAGAGAAAAATTGCTGTTCGAAAATCGTCTTTAAAATGCATGATTTGAAAAACTGAAAAGCTCATTTCAAGATTCAAAACTGTAAGTTCCCGTGAATCATAATTTTATGCACGTTTTTCTTTTCATTCAACGCATGTTCGTAATTATGGACACCTTGAATTCAAATGCCTATAGAATTGCTAAATGAGATCTTCATTCTTGTTCACTTGCATTTTTCAGAAATTGAATTAAACCAGAAAGATCAAGCTTTCCATTTTTTCTAGCTTCTTTCCTAAATTTCTCGGACATTTCTTACCCCCTTATAAAACGCGCCCTTTAATTTTTTTTTAGAAATCGGGGAAATGACTTTTTATAAGAACTTACCATGAATTGAACTAGATCAAGATGCGTAGATCTTTTTTGTTGTTGCTAAATTCGTATGAAAAAACGGCATGTGGTGCGTTGATCAGTAGGGTAATTTGTTTTTAATGATACTTTCTATTTAGCAGCCAACATGTTGATGCTCTCCCAGATTGGTGCTCTCCTTTACTGTATTCTCGTGTCTGTAATGGAAATTCTTGAGAAATTTGGCGCGTAGTACAAAAGACACCCTGTACCGTTTAGTTACAGGCACATTCTGAAGTGAGTGGCTGATCGTCTTAAAATCGCCGGCATACTTTTTTCCAGATCTTGAAATTGTCTAGATGTATATGGGGAGAGGGGATGTTTCTAATTTTCTAAAGAAAATCCTTTCGCAGTTTATTGTGTGTGTGATAGGGGAAGTTGTTTTCGCGATGGCTGCGCCTCCACCGGTGGTTCCGCAATTATGGTCGGCCTCCGCGAAAATGTCTGAAAAAGTGCGATACGCGACGTTGTATCCGGCGTATATAAATAGCAACAAGAAGCTTTGCGAAGGACGGCGAATAGCGAAAGAAAAGGTAATGCGAATAGCGTCCGAACTAGTGTCTGCGACATGAATTTTTTTGTTTTGTTTTCTGTAGTGTGTCCCGGATCCGAATGTGAACGAGATGAAGGACGTTTTGCTCAGTGCGGGTTTCAACGTGTTCCTGGAGCCGAAGATTTTCCCGAGGGAGAGGATTAAGAATCCCACGTATTACGGGAAGGTCAGGGTCCAGATTAGGAATGACGACGGAACGCCGTTCAAATCCGAGATTCCCAACAGTGAGTGTTTCCTTGTCGAATTGAAAGCGCGAATTTGCATGACATTTTTCACTGAGAGAGTCGGGGTACAATTGTCACTGTATCTTGTTTGTCATACTGTATTTAATCGACTACTGTCAAAAATAAAAGTAAGGTATGTTTAGAAATAATAGATTTACAAGGATCAGCAAAGATGCTAATTCTGGAGGAATCTTGTGAGACCAGAGTTGACCTTGAGTTCCCACAATCTTCCTACCAAAATTTGTTTTGTCCTTCATAGTCTATCTGTTGTTGTATCCTTGAGCATCAAGGACCTTTTCTCCATTCATCTCTCTATTGAATTAGTTTTCCTGTTTGCTGAAAACCAAAAAGAAAATCAATCGAGTCTTGATCTTTGAATCGTACAGACCTCGTGAGAGTCAGAATTTTTTGTTTGTGTTTTCAATCAATTCTCTCACTTTGAGTTGCAGTTTTGTTGTTTTCTCATCTTGTGAGACTTTTCTTCACCAAAGCAAAAATACATAATTTTATACGAGGACTTTTTAGTCCTGGCTGCAGCCCAGCTGATCAAGCTGTTTTCTTTTCCGAGTTTCTGTAAATCTATCATAAGCTTGATTATCTGAAAGTCTGATTGCTGATCTATCAGTCTTCTAATTTTTCAGTTGAAAGGAATTTAGCAATCATTCCTTTCTTGTCAAGAATATATTTCTGACAACTACCTCACGCACCTTTTTTCTCGAAATTGAAAGGAAAAAGAGTGGTGCGTGTCGTGGCGGGGATTCAATTTTCAAAAAGTGTTGGAAGTTTAGGAGCCTGACACGATTCAATGGATTGAAAAACTTTCCACAGGAACTTTTTTTTTTAAATCAAAGCAATTGAATATTAGTTGAATCCATGTTGAATTAAAGTTCAAATTTAATTCTGATGTACTGTATATGTTTTGAAAATATCGTATTTATTCAGTCCGTAAAAATCGGTTGTGCATTTTTTGTGGGGATAGGATTTCATCAAAATTATAGGTTGAAAAATTCGGGTGAGTGTCTTGCTTGAGTAAATATGGTATTTTTTCCTGAGTATTTCTCAGCGTTCCAACCTGTAATGAACCTGTGAACCAAATCATGAATGAATCATGAAAATGATTCATTTTCCTTTGTTGGGTGGTTAACTACAGTACGTTGATTGTGCATGTGAAGAACAACTCTGCATTTGATTTTTGCGAAAAAGGACGGAAAAACAGTTCAGATTCACCTGACTTTGCCAATTACGTGAAGAATGAGTACAGGTGCCCCTTTGTTTATTTTTTATTCTGAAGAATCACTTATTTAGTTACCTTTTGATTTTCTCGTCTTAGGAAGGAATTAAAATTTTCACAATGTATTTTAATGGAAATATGTGATTCACGTAGCAAGAAAACCATGTAAAGGTTTAGTTTCGTCGTGCGGGGACTCACTGTATTGTGATTTGGATGATGTAAAGTTTTGTGCAGTCCCACGACATTGTTCTTGTATTGACGTGATAATTCACGTAGTTCTTCTCTTTTCGGCCCCTAGAAAATGCCGTTATGGAGCACCTGTGCGAGATGATCCCAAAACTTAAATCCAGGACGCAGCAGCGACAAGGAGCCCAAGGCGGTGGTGCTGCGCCCAGTGGTGGTGCCACGAGTGGTGGTGGCGGTGGTGGTGCCGGAGGCAAAAAGAAGAAAGGCCGTCGTTGACTCCGATACCACATTTCCATGATCCCACGGTTCTCCGCGTTTTGTTGTATACCCTACTGAAAAAAAAAGAAAGAAAAATACTGTGAGACTTGTGGAAAAAACTGGAACTTTATTAGCAAACGAGACCGTCGCAAAACGAATTTCTTTCAAGTTTTTATTTCTGAGTTCGTGACGTTGTTTTCTTGA